ACTGTTGTACGTTTCACCGTAATCATTGTGACTAATAAGTCAATGGATGTTGTTCATGAATATGGGTTTCTCTTAATTGGGCTAATGTCTATCTGAAGGAAATGCATCTTTATTTGTCGTTTTTGGAGGTTCTTTTTGTTATTTTATAACTGCTAACGGAGCTGCAATAGACTGTATGCCTGATGTAAATGAAAGGTCTAAAATAATCTATAAAAAGATGTTAAGATGTGAATTGTGAGATGTGACAAGGGTGGATATATGTATGTGTTGATATAAAAATTGTTATTGAAAGTTAAAAGTAAAAAAAAAAAAAAAAACAGAGTAATTTTTTTTTCTGTAATGAGACATCGCTGCACTGTGGTAAACTGACACGAACGAGCAGCATTGTTAGAAACAACTGCTCCCTTGAACGTCTCGTCTGGTTTTTTCCTTGCATGTAAAATGACAGCGTGAATGTGGGTTACAGCAAGTAGGTACTTTACGTGGTAGTAGAAAGTTAAAAAAAAATTATTTGACAGAGTAGCCACACACCGCATGGCTCTATTCAATGCTATTAGGGGTCTGCAGAAAATATGCCCCAAAAACCTGACAGCCACCAGAAGTTGCAGCTCAGTTGCTGCTGTCAAATTCACATTTTATTCCTCGTTTTGAGTCCAACCATAGACAGAGATATACAGGCAGAAAACTGATTGTATCTGTCTTTTCCTGTCAACACATCTTTCTTCTCACAACACATTTTTTTACCTTCTGTTCACGAATTACCAAAAACAACCGTTATTTAGTGGATAAATAGCAGCATGCTACATCCTACCTGCTGTAGCATTAATATGCAAACTGACAGATGATTCTCATCTTTTCTTATATTATGACAAAACAAGACTTCAATGAAATTACAGATTCCGATTCATCCCAACCCACCCTAAGAGTCCTTCACATTGACTTAGTAGAATCTAGGGGTGGAACTGTTCACAAAATCCACGGTTCGGTTCGGTTCATGGTTTTCGGTTTGGTTCGGTATAAGTTGATTTTTACACTGAAATCCCTTAAAAATTAATGAAAAAGTCGAAAAAAATTTATGAATTGTAATTATTTTTAATGATCCGCGGAAACCCTGCTTCATTTCCTCATGTTTTGCTGCTTTGAATTTAATCATGTCGCGCATGCCCTCTACCATCTCCAAGGAACTCAGAGCAGAGCGGACGGGAGCCACAGCGGGGGCTGTAGGCTTTGCTTTGAGCAGCCGGTCTGGAGCGCAGCGGGGCGGAGCGCTGACGGAGTATGAGGGATTTCGGGGTTAGCATGACATGTTGGTCATGTTGCTGTTAGCATAAACAAAACGTGTTGCACAATGTTTGCACACTGTTGCACTTTTATCCACCACTTTCTTTCCGCCGTCATCGTAGGTCACTCTAAATGCAAAGTGGTCCTATACAGCAGACCTATAAAGTGCTGCTGGCGCGTCTTCCAACTCCTGTTCTTTCCCACTCGCCATACCCACACAATTCTCCACAACTGATTCTTTTCTGCTACACCCGGCTACGCTGCTTTGCTTCTCACGCGAACCGAACCGAGACAGTCGAACCAAACGGTTCTGACGGTTTTCATGAACCGTCCCATCCCTAGTAGAATCTGCAACGGTTAGAACCCGATTCCACCCTTGATCATACTGTCTTTAATTAGTCTGATCAGATTCAAGGATGTTCAAAAAATCATGGATTTAAAACCCAAATGTCCAAAATCCTTACTTTTCCAGAGGAGTTCTTTCTGGCAGCCCTGTATAATGCAGCCCCTTCCCCACCTCACTGCAGGTCAACTCAGTGAACCAGCAGTCCCCCTTATTAAGCTGTGTTAAAAACAGTTAGCGGGGTACGAGCAACATGACTGTAAAGCAACCAGCTGCAGGCTAGTTGGACAAAACTAACAAGAAAAAAAATATCCACTTGGTTTGGATAAATAATTTCAGAAAAAAAAATATAATGAAACTGAAAAGAAAAAAAGAAATGATTTAATAGGAAAATTAACAGGGTTTCTGAAAGTTTTTTTAAATAATTAACAATCACATAACATACTTATAATAAGTCAAATAGCTCAAAGCAGTAACAAGCGTTCAGTTCTGGTCGATTTTGGCAAAAGCTGTAATGTTTTGCCTGGAAGAAGACAACATTTCCCTTGAGGACCAGTGTGGTAAAAACCACAGTGTGGTAAAATCCAAATCTCCTACTCGCCTGCAGTCTTATTGAACTTCATTTCAGTTTCCAGTTCAGCCACACACACACACCTCACACGGCTCATTAGCGGCTGCTGCGCTGACGAGTTTGTACCATGCAACACGTAAATATAATGTTATGTTTGATCAGTTCACACTAAACACACATATGATCCATGCAGGAATGCACCTGAGTATCAGCCTGCACAATCTGCATGCAGAAGGAACAGGTAGAGGATAGCATAGGTTTCAAGGGGGGGGGATTAGATCGTAGGGAACCCTTTATAGCAGGGATCTTCAATGTTTTCCAGGCCATGGACCCCCAAAATGATGACAAGATGGCGCAGGGACCCCCTAATTATATATATTGTATGAAATTGTGTGCTATCAAACTGGTCTTATAGTCTCTCTATTACAGATGGAATAATGTAAGGAAAGTAATCCCTCCCTGGGATTATTAAAGTATTTCTGATTCCTGGTTGTTCGGACAGGTGTTGTGAATGAAACGGTCCCCAGCTTGAAAGAGCTCCTGTGTGTCGCTGAATGTGTGCGTTGATGACTGAAAGACATCTGCCTCCATTTATCTGTTTACTTCAGTGTGTTGAATTCATTATTTAAAGACTTTTAAATATTTCAATTAGTGGGAAAAAAAATTGCAGTGGGGAATATCAAAAAAGTCTAATCAGCAAAAACTTTCACGACCCCCATGCAGTACCTCCGCGGACCCCCTAGGGGTCGCGGACCCCCTGTTGAAGACCTCCGCTTTATAGGGCAAGTTGCATCGACCTTACAAATGGAACCCCCCCCCCCCGTCCCTCAGTGAGGTCTAGAAGCACAGGATCTATATCCAGCCATTCAGCAAAGGTCCTGCTACATGGATGTAGATTTTATTTTGGCATTTGACCAATCAAATGAGCCCTTGAATGATAGATTACCTACTGGAAATTAAGTTGAAAAAAAAAAAGTTAACAAGTCAAGAACAAAACGTAAAATGCTAATTGAAAAGATAAAAAGTAAAGTTAAAAAGTTAATAATCCTGGTTAAGAATTATATTTGGCTTTGTATCCTAAAAATGCAAATGCCAGCATCAGCATTAATGCATCTAAGGTTATGTTGTACCAAAAAAAAAAAGTTTCTTACACTCTCAGATTTTTTTTAATGAATTTCTTATAGAAGCACTTTTGTTATTTTTCTTTATATATTCGGGCAAATTGGCGTTTCTTGTGTAGAATGTAAATATCTGGCTGGCTTGCCAAATATAGAAGCAGTTGTTATTACATTGTGGTAAATATTTCCCATCAAAATATCCATATTTCTTGAATGTTACAAAGGTAATAAAGTTTTGTCCTGGATTCCAATAACACTATTAGCTTATTCAGCTGGAGCTATAATCATAAACTCAACCAGAGTCTCAACAAAGACATAAATTTATTTAAAATTCCATAGTAAAACATAACGAGCTTGTTAAGGCTTAACCTTTAAACAATTTTAAGACCTTGCAGACTTTAACTTCCCTGATTGTTGGATCTTATCTTGTTTTGTTTTTTGTTTTTTTTTGGGGGGGGTGATACCATCTATATAAGCACATATAAAGTACTACTTTGTTTTTTTGTGAAATCCTGCTGTGGAATGACATATACCTTCTTAGATGGAGAGGAAAAAGGAACAGCAGTGGACTATGACAACACATCAAACACATCTCTACAATCCAAAAAAGTGCATTAATTGTTAGAATTACAGCCACACACACATTTCACACACGGCTCATCCGCAGCTGCTGTGCTGAAGAGTTTGGTACCACGCTTTATCATATTTAGTTACTCTAACACAATTGTTTTATGTCCTACCCTGCTAACATGAAACAATTCTGTTAACTAAATATGATAAAGTAAATGCCAAAAATTGTTGCATTATTTCACGCAACACATAAATATAATGTAGCAGGAATGTGCCTGAGTATCAGCCCTGCACCATCTGCATGCAGAAGGAGCAGGTAGTGGATAGCATAGCTTTCAGGAGGAGAATTAGATTGCAGGGAGCCTGAAGGTCCAGCAATTGATTTAAAAAGCTGGAGCTATAGTAATAAAAAATTCAACCAAAGGCATCTCTACAAAGGCATAAATATATTTAAAATTCCACAATAAAACACAGGAAATGCTTCTTAATGCGCATCCTTTAAACAGTGGAATTAAAGTATTTGACTTTTTATGACTTTGCAGACTTTTTCTTTCTCTGATTGTTGGATCTTAGCTTGTTATTTATTTTTGGGGGGTTGACACCATCTCTATAAGCGCATATAAAGGAAGAATAACCCGTTTTTTGTTTTTTTTTCTGTCAGATCAAACACATGTCTACAATCCAAAAAATTGCATTAATTGGTTGAAACGTCACTTTCTTTATTAATAATCTGCAGTTTCATTCATGTTGTCACTTTTGACTCCAAACAGCCCCCCCCCCCCCCCCCTCCTGAATGCCACTCTAGGAAAACATTATCCTTATCTGAGTTTGGATTTGTTTTGGTTTTTAGGAACAAATACGGAAGAAAAAAGGACGTAAGAAAAAGTGCGTGAATCCTCCAGAATGCGTGAGAGAAGGAAGAGCTTCATCATGTCAGCACAGATGTTCAGCTGGAGTGAGAGCTAAAAAAACGGATTTAAATACAACTACTGGCAGATGAAGAGGGTTAAAGGATGTTTTATAGTTAGAAAGCTTTCTGTGTATAGTTTTAAAAAGTAAAAAAAAGAAAGAGAGAGAGAAAATGTATATGTCTAACCTAAAAGAAGAGCGGACGTACCATGAAGTCTTCTCAAAATGCCCTGAAAACTTGAAGGAAGTCGCTCCGGTTGATGTCAACTAAAAAAGTCCAAAAACATCAGAGTCCTTCTTCGTTTCTCGGCTTTACGCACAGAGCGGCGACCTTAGCGGAGAAAAGCGGCTGGTTTGGGGAAGCTGTCGCCTCACAACAATGCGGACAAACGCCCCGCAATGAAAGTTTTTAATCCGAGGAGCTTCTATCTGTGTTTTACTGCAGGGGCTTCATGGAGGGGCGGGGCCTGAGGGGAGGAGGAGGAGGACTGCGCGCGCGACAGAGAGAGAGAGAGAGAGAGGACTCCCCAAACCGCTCCTCGCGCGCAGGATGATCCAAAGAGCGCAATTAATGAGAAACAATTTATGTCATGAATTTGATTCAGATTAGAAATTTTAGGGGTTGATTTGTTGAACGCGCATGTGCGACAGGTTAGCATGTAAAACCTCAAACTTCCTGTCAAAGCTGCAATGTAGGTCAGACTGACTGCTGGAGGGCTTCTGCTACTTTATGAAGGTGGTATGACTGTGATCGCAGCTGCTGAGAGTGCAAACACAAGATAGTCACAGAGAATGATGCTCAGCAGCAGTGGCGGTTCTAGACCAAATGTACCAGGGGGGCCAGGAGGGGCCAGAGTGTTTTCATGGTGGAACAGAAAAGCGTGAATGTACGGAAGAGGATTAGGGCCACTGGAAAAAAAATGTTAACTGATTTTTAAATTTTATTTCAGTTTAATATGGGGGAAAAAGTCAGAATTCTGAATTTTTTCAGAATTTTGACTTTTTTCTCAGAATCCAGAGACTAGCTCTCTTGTTTTAATGACCTTCTGCTCCTCTAATAATGAGGGGACCCCTCGGGCACGTAAAAAGTTGCCTAATTCCGTCATTGTCCACCAATGTGTCACTGGCCCTCTCAAACAACTCACATCTTTGTCAGTGAAGCTGAGTGCTCCACATCTCTTCCTTCATGGTGCCCATCTACATTAAGATCCAAAATTCTGAGATTAAAGTCAGAATTCTGAGAAAAAAAGTCAGAATTCGGAGGGAAAAAAAAGTCAGAATTCTGACTTTTTCCCCATATTGAACTGAAATAAAATTTTAAAATCAGTTAACTTTTTTTCCAGTGGCCCTCATCCTCTTCCATATAAAGGGGATTCAAATAGGGATTTAAATATATTAAGACCGCTGCATGAAGTGAAATTTCTATTCAGTTGGGTTTAATTGATATTCTATGTCTTATTAGGTCAAAATACACTCAAAATTTACATATTTTTGACTTAATTTAAAGTCGTAGGGAAATCATATTTAAATGTCAAATCTTTCTGGCTTAATTAAAGCTACAGTGTGTAATAATTACAGGAATATACAGTCAGAAATGTAATATATTATACATAACTATGTTATTTATCATCATCTACGAGCTCAGCCCCTTAACCTTAATATTTGCGTTGCCTTAGAATTCGTTATTTATAATTACATAGGAGCGGGTCTCGCAGCCATGGAGGCAGAGATCTTTGCGCTACGGCAGCGCAGAGCCAACAAGCTAGTGATTGCGAGATCGCCAAAATGTCACAACGATATAGAAATAATAACGGGTATATTTATTATCTTAAGTCTACATGAAATCTATACCCTACACAGACTAATGAAATACTATCTGTAAAATGATCTATGTAAACAAACCTCATCACTTGAGAAGGTAGGTGATGCGGACGTAGTGGAAGACATTTTGTCCCGTAACGCTCGCCGTATTGTTGGGGGGGAGAAGCGGTGTGGGGGGGGGGGATGTTCATGTTGCTGCAGTCTGCAGTCTGACCGCTAGATGTCGCTAAAAGTTACACACTGTAGCTTTAAGTATGTTGTGACCCAGGTTTGATGATACAAAAAGGTGTAAGTCCATAAAGGCCGAAGATGGACCATGGACTTATTTTACGCAGGCAAAATAAAAATGTTCCAGGGAAACTCCTTTAGTTTTGTCAGTTTATTTTTTCCTCAGGCAAGCAAACAAAAAAAGACAAACAGTGAGCTCTCCTCGCAAAGCATTCCGGGATATATCTGCCTCCTCTATGGCCTTTCTTTTTTTCTTATGCACTACATAGACACTTATTCTCATATGACCCTCGGCCATTTTCAAAAAACCGCAGTGAGAAAGGTGAGCTTCAATGACTGGCTGGAACCATAGCTCACCACAGATATACGCCTGGAAGTGCGCAAGCGCAGTAAAAGAGCATGTAGAACGGCCTTCCATATAGGATGCCCTGAGCTATACTGACTTACCATAATGTAGAAAATACATGCAGTCTAGCCAGAAAAGCTGTTTTGTGATTGCAAACTACATTTCTTTCCAATAATAATTTTGTTTTTGCTGGCAAAAAAACATTAAATCCTCACTGTATTTTGTGTTCAATGACTCTTCAGCTGTTTCCATTTTTTTATGGTAGGCTTATAGCCCCCCTATTTCCACCGGAGACCAACCCAGTCTGTTTTTTTATTGCATGTCCTTCTCATTTTGAAGCATTCCCTGGATAACGAATGAAATTATTTGTCCCAGAGCAATTGTATTTTGTAATTGCATTGATGACAATTGATCCACCAACTTTTGTTCTTCTCAAAATGTATTAACCATTGTTATACAGCATAACAAATTTGAATTCAGATTTACAAATAGCAGCAATCTTTAAAATCTCTACTTTGAAAACCAGTTGGAAAACCAAATTAAAATGTTAAGTAAAAAAGTTGTTGATGCTTGGTTCAGGCTTTCTCCTATTACATGCACTAGTGCTGGTAGTATCAGGGGTTATTTGCATTACAATAGTGACAGTTAGCCAGGTGTGTCAAGACTCAGAACAGTATTCAGGCAAGACAGACAGTGGTATAACTTCAAAAGGAGATAATTAAAAACTGGTGGATCGGAGTAGCAGCAGCAAGGCGTCTATGGCATGAAACTCTGCAGGAGAGAAACACAGGCTAGTGACCATTAAAACCTAACAGAGGAAGATTATGAATGTGAGTCACTAACCTGGTTGACAAGTTCAGTCCATGCCCAGAGAACCAAGTAGGGTCCAGTCAGTGGCTGCCAACAAGATGGGGCCGCCCAGGATGTCCCAGTTGCAGCAGCCCCGGAGAACAAGAAGGAGTCCGAAGACAGTTCAGGCAAGCAGATCAGAACAGGAACAGGCAGGCTTAAGGGCTGGTTATACTCCTGCAGCAGTGTGTTTCAGTGAGCTTGACGCAGATATTTTTGATTTATGCTCAATATTGAAGCGTGGTCTGTGCTATATGCTGTGGGTCTAGATATGAGGAGGTGTGGGGGACAACGGAGGGACATGAGGGCAAAAAAGAGGGTCCCAGCGTTGTCGCACACCTCGCTCTTCTAGCTGGTCCAACTTCACGAGTTGTTTTCCACAATTTTGGTGATAAAAAGCAAACAAGCCGGCCTCCTGGCCACTAGCTAGAGAGAACAAGAATAATCTGGCCCTGATGACTTAAAGGCACACTATGCAACATTTTTCAGTTAATTAATGTGTTCCATAACGTTTTGGATGATTAAATGAGTCATTTCAGGTTGAACAAAGGTATTCTCGGCCGCCCTGGTGGTCTGTAGGGGAAATACTGCACTTGCAATTGCAGGAGCACCGACCCGCACCCACAGGCTCAAAGTCTCGCGAGAGTCGGTCTTGCTTCACGGCGAGAACTGCTACACCCCCCAGTTAAAAGCATGCTCGTTGCTAGCACAGTGGCGATATTTGTGCAGTTATGCTACGTTCACACCAGACGCAGCAAAAGCAGCAAAATCGCGTCTGCTGCTTCATTTTTGCTGCTTGTACCATTTAGTTCTGACGCGCGGCTGAAGCAGCTTTGCTGCTCTGGCTGCGCGGTGCAAAAGTGTGTCTGACGCGCGTTGGGCAGAGCTTCACTATCCTTTCTCTGCCTTGCAGCTATATTTGCTGTGATCAGTGGGAATAAAGTAGTTTTAATATGTTTTTAAGTGAGAAAGTACACCTGAAAACTTAATCAGTGCAGTCAGTTCATTCAGATTATCATCCTGCCTTACAATATTTTTTCAGTCGGAGCCGCTCAGACCCCCACATACCAGCGGTGCGCTGTCAGTAGGATCCTATTCAACAGCAGCCTCTGGCCGGGTCACCTCCTCGCGGTTCACCGCGGCAGCTGACAGGTGTTTTTCATCTAAATAATCCAAACTGCAGGCAGCAGGATAATAAAAGCGAACTTATTCTGCCGGCAGATTTCTGCATTTTAAGTTAATTTAGGCGTCAATAAACTGTTTCAGAGGAGCGATCATAGCGCTCTGTGTCATCAGCGATATGTCTCTCTCCCTGTCAGCTCCCAGATCAGCTTCTCTGATTGGTTGACGCGGCGCGTTGAGCAGCAAAAATTAAATGTTTCCATCTCGAGCAGCAGCACGTTTGCGGCGCGTCAGATGCTTAAACGCGCCCGACGCGCTGCTTCAGCTGCTCAAAACGCGCCGCGGGACCTTTTGCTGCGCCTTGACGCGCGTCAACCATTGACTTTGCATGTAAACTCGCTGCTTCTGTCACGCCAGCTGCGTCCAGTGTGAACGCAGCATTAGTCATTCGTTGCGTTTGCCTGTCTGCTAAGCTCAATTTACGACAGTGCACTTTTACTTTCGCCCTCTGGGGGGAGCCTCGCTGGAAAATCAACACCGGTTGCATAGTATACCTTTAATGCAAGCAGCTTAATTAGAGGCAAGAGCCGGTGGATCAGATAAAAGGTGATGAGAAACCAGGCAGAATAGGAAAGATTATATTTATATATATATATATATATATATATATATATATATATATATATATATATATATATATATATATATATATATATATATATATATATATATATATATATATATATAGTCTTTATTTCAGTTTATTTTTTCGGTTTTATTTAAATAAATGTTTAAAAAAATAACTGAAACCCCATGTTTGCCTCATTGGTATTTTGTATCCATGCAGGCTGCCTGTGTGACCAGTAATACCAACAAACTGTTCCTGATTAAGTTATGCTCATTTTAATAGCGGCCACACTAACTGTTACAAATCATCTGTTCAAAGAGACATTTTACAGTGAGAGAATAGGTGTCATTCATGTGGAAGGACTCGGGAATAAGGAATAGTTCACTCAAAATCCAAAATTATCTCTTACTAATCTGTGCCAGCGTTTAGTTATTTCATAATCCTTCCTCCCTGAGATCAAATAGAC